TTTTTTTTTTAATATCATTGACCATAATGCCCGATTGATCGGCTCAATCCGAGAAAATTGATCCTATTTTTTCCATCAAATATTATGACTAAATTTCAATTTTAAATCTGTTGTCAATTTGTCTTGAGGTGAAAGAAAATATTGGTAAAGTTTTCGAAGGAAAACGTCTCAACGTATTTCTTATCGTGGACGATTAGATACGCGAACTTTATAATCGATTTCTCCTGTTTTCTGATTTTACTCAGTCGGAATCGAAATTGAACCACTGCGCCGCCGATGACCAGCTCGCCAGGTCTTTTCGACGAAATTAAATTCCGGTAATCGATTCCGGAAATGAATTTGCCGCAATATCAGTTCGATTCGACTTAGTGTCACCTAGCGAATTTTTAGTAGTCAGATGATGTTCCTGTTCTATCCATTCCTGTTAGCATAATTCTTCTTAATGGAATTCGCAAGTATGAATAAAAGATAAATACCAAAAATATGGATTATCTCAACGATAAAAAGTTGATTACAAAATGATTGAAATATTTAAAACTTTTTATTGTTTGCACTCATTTTTTATTCACGAAGGATAATTTTTGCCTGTACTTTTTACAGTTGGGTTATTTCTTGTCTTTTAAAATAAGCAGTGCGGCGATATCAAAGTTGGAGGGAAAAAATCATGTAGCGAAGAGAAGTAAGGTGTTCCAGCTCTGGGATAAGTTAGTCGAGACGCGTTTTCTTAAGTGGATCATTTCTATGAATTGCACGTTCAACAATGATACAGTTTAACATTGAAACTCTTCATGCTTAATCTAGCTGAAAGTCCACTGGTAACGTGAGTTTAAAACCCGGGCCAACGTCTAAGTGAATATTTTAACGCGAATGCGAGAAGTTTACGTACGTACATAGCCGAAAACTTTCTCCGTTTTTTACTTGTCAAACATCAGTCCTTTACAAAATGTTCGACAGCCTTCAGAATCCCTGAAGTCTGTATACAATTAGCCAATACATTTTCAGTTATATACAGATAATTTACATTAAGTTGAACAATATAAGTTTTGTACATCTACATACCTTCTTCTTTATATTTGAATAACTTTTATATCAAAGTTTAATTCAATGCGAGTTATGGTAAATAATTAATAAAGTCATTATGTATTGAACAATAGTGTCAATGTCTATCGCTTGAAGTGTTTACTTGTAAATTTGTATGTGCTCCGGGCTAGAATTCTTGGATCTCTGTAACCGTAGCACGAGATCACCAACAAACTTTACGACGTGACACGGAAACACGGTCGAATTTCCGCGAAGAATACCAACAAGCTGCTAGCTTCCTGGTATTATATTTTCACGTTCTGGTTATTACGTTTGTCGCATCGGATTCACTAAGCGCTTAACGTCGTTCTCGCGCGTTTCCTGTTGCTTTTATTCGTAATGCACAATTGCCAGCACATCAAAATTTACATATGTAACAGAGAGGAGAGCATAGAGTCTAAATATTTACACGTTGTTAAATATTTGCTATGATTTCAATATATTGAAATACTGTCAAGTATGTAGTATGTTTATTTAGACTATAGCACAGTAATGTATTTTATTAAATATAA